TTCTTAGGCCTTCAAGAATGCATATGTTAACTAAGTATATTCTTATCTTAGTTAAAACCATAGAGTGTTACCTCTATGTCATAAGTTAAAGTTGAAACAATCAAAACCAAGTTTATCTTTCAAGATCTCCCTTAGTTCTATTATGCATTCAATTTATTGATCAAGAAAATGAATGTAGAAAAACTTTCAACTTCAAAGCAAGGAACAAAACCAGTGCATTAAACAACTACAACATAGGTTGAGGAGAATAACCCCTAGAAACCGCTTAGCTACTCATACAGATTAATGCTACATCTACTACATCAAAAGGCATCATAGAAGTATGCATAATAAACAAAGTTCAAGCTAACAGTCAAGAGACGAGAAAAAAGCTTGTGCAGTTTCTGAGCCACTCCTGGGAGTGAAAGGGTTCACTCATGGAACTGAAGCAGAAACTGGGATGGCTATTCTTCAACTTGGCTTCCTTACTGAGTTATTGTTGCTCCTTCTTCCTTCTTGCCTTTTACCTGGAGTTTTTCTGTGTATTTTTAGCAACTAAAAAGGTAACCAGAGATTGATTTTTTTCTGAGAGTGAAGTCCCCCCTTTTATAGGGCCTTGCAGCCGGTTCTTTCATCATTAGAACCGCCCCATGCTTGTAATTTGTTTAATCCTCCCAATGCCTTGTGCCTGGAATCCAAACTTGGCTGTTCTTCTTCTCTTCTTCCAGAAGTGGCAGCATTGCTCTCATTGATCAGCAGGGGTGGCTGAAATTTCGACTGGGGGACAAGCATGCCTCTTGGAGGAGACATACTCATTAATGGCAAGATGCTTCTTGTCTAAGGAGGTGCTTCTTCGTCCTGCTCAGCAACATTACCTCAGCAGCCCGCAGTTTATTCCCTTGGCCTCAATTTTTAAGCAATTGTGCAATCAAACCCCAACCTAACAAAAACATGAAAGCTAGTTAAGTAGAATGCACTAATAATAGGAAATATCCCCCCATTTCTTACTAAATTTAGAGTTAATTGTGATGCTTTTATGTGACAAATAAACCATTATCATGAGACTTAAGCTCTGCCACTTCTTGCTGCACATTAATAATAAAGAATGGGGAGAGGTGGAACTAGGGAGCTATATAGTATATATGTTCATACTTGGGGTATACCCCTTGGGTGCGTTATACTGTATGATACAAGCTAACTCAAAAATTTACCTCTTGGGTATACCCCTTGAGTTTTTTTGAGTTAGTTGGAACATGAACACCACCCTAACCTTTCCTTTGGGGTTAAAAAAAAAATTAGGCATAAATTTGATGTGATGACCAAAAAGTTCCAACAAACTCTATCATTATAAAACAACGGGAAAAAATTTAGTATAAACGAAATGGAACAAACTTTATCAATATGAAATAATTTAAAGGGATTGGGTTGTAGAATCTAAATTAAAATGTAGTTCATATATAATGAACCATAATTAGAAGTTACATCATATTCAAAATACAACCATAATAATTCATAATTGTTTGTAACCCAAAGACAAAAAGCATAACATGCATAAACTAAAAACTATGTTACATAGATTCCAACCATGGGTAAAAATAAGATTCATATTCAGAACCTGGAGAATAGACAATTATGGAATTAAGAAATATATTAAGTGATTTTATGCTGAAATAAATAAAGAAATAACAGTTCAAATTGAAGCCATGGCCACATTGCTTGATTTGCTACATATGTGGTGGAGTGCGCGTGGTTTTTTCTCGGCAAAACAATTTCTCATTCGAATACTCCCTTCTTTTATTCTTTGGGAAGTTTGGAAAGCTAGGAACAAAATATTCTTTGATGGTATTCCATTTGAGACGGGGAGAGTTATTCATCAAATAACTATCTCAATTCAGAACATTTTATTTGTACGTGATTTGAAGACTAGGAATGTGGAGGAAAGGGAATTCATTGATGATTCATTTGGTGTAAAATTACAAAAAGTTCAAAGAAGGACTTGTATCTCGGTTTGTTGGAAGTCGCGGAACAATGAAGGCTTTGTTCTCAATACTGATGGGTCGGCTACTAAAGAAGATTCTTGCTATGGTTTTGTCATTAGGTGCTTTGGTGGGAACTTCCTGTATGGAGAGCATGGGTATGTTGGTGCGTGTGACAGCTTTGGAGCTGAGGTTTATGGGCTGCTTTTTGGTGTTCAAAAATGTGATCATCTTAATTTGGAGCATGTTGACATTCGAAAAGACAACAAGGTGCTGGCTGATCTTTTGAGGAATTTAAATTTGATCCCATGGAAATATTACTTTCAAATTATGGAGATTCATAGTATTATGGAGAGACGTTCATACTCAGTCTCTCATATTTTTCGTGAAGCAAACTCAGTGGCGGATAGCTTGGCCAGTCAAGGATCACAAGGGCAATCTTGCATTTATACTAGATTCCGGGAATTGTCAAGGCATACTCGTGGTCTAGTTCGTTTAGATCAAATTTCATTTCCATATGTACGAGTTAGGCTCAAATTGCTTTGTAACATGGCAAGTCTTAAGCACTTCCAGATTTTTTCTATTAATGAAATTTAATAAAACAGAGGTTGGGAGAAGCTGAGGAACTGAATGATGTATATGTCCATCCCTCGGGTAGACCCCGTGGGTGTATTATATCATTTGCTATAACTGATTCAAAAATTCATCTCTAGGGTAGACCCCTTGAGTGTTTTTGATACAGTTAGAACCTGAGCTCCTTTCTAAACCTCCTATTTATTTAAAAAAAATAAAGAAATAACAAAATAAATAAAAAGATTAATTTAAGTACTTATTCTATTAAGAAGCTGAGGCCGAATTCCATGGACGACCAGGAGCATGGACCTCAAAGTTATTTTCAACAAAAACATCCAGCACAAAAATATATATATATATATATATATATATATATATATATATATACATGATTGGTACTAACTCATCTACTGATGTCAAATTAAATTCATGAGATATAATTTAATTTTTAAGTAAAAAAATGATGGCAGAATGGAAACACTTACAATGAAGTAATCAGCAGTATGAGGTTTCAATTTGAATATGCATTGAACTCCAAAAGGAGTGTATGGCTTGTATGGAACAGATTGAGTCCCATCATATCTAAAAGGCATGCATATGATGTTATCAGTTCCGTTATAATAAAAATGAACCCGACATCATGGACCGATTTGAACTTCATTTGCAAATTTTAAGAATTTATTCCCAAACATAACAATCTCACCATTTGCAGCTTCGAAAATTAATACTTCAAATTTGCCTACTGGAGTAACTAGTTTAATTTTTTTTCGGACATATCTGCTGAAGCAATCACGCAACCTAGACGTGAGAAGCTAAAATGCAAAATAATAATAATAATAAAAATAATAATAATAAAATTTGGATATTTAAATTCTGTTATAACAACTAAAAAACAATATACACAAACTGATACATTAATTTAACAAAGGGTAAAATGTCTTACAACACCAAGCAATTCGTAGTCTTTTGGAACGGTGTATAAGAACCCCAAGTCGTACGAAATTTTTTTTTATTAAGATCCTGTTATATGAAAAAAAAACAGAGCAGCAATAATTAAAATTATATTTATACGAATAAAAAGGGTAACATAATAGCTTACAAATTGTATATATTTTCTATATTTAAATATTGAAAAATAACAGTAGATGATAAACTGATTAATGTACATAATCCATAGGAATGTATATTATAGTTGTACAGAAGTAATCTACATACAACAAAGTGTATTTGTAAGGAAGATCAATAAAGAAGATGCCAAAAAAAAAAAAAAATAAACAAAGAAAGAAAAAAGTAAATTTTATATTACCTGATCTTGAGAAAGAAGATTACTCCCCTTGGTTATTTTTCTTCAAAACGCATGCAAGGGATTATGACAGACAGAATGGAGGAGAAAAGAAAGAGATAAAAGAAAGAAAGATCTAAACACCTTTGTTTTAAATCTGGAAGAAAGTGAGAATGGAGTTGAGAGAATTATTGATATATATATTAGTTCGAAGGAAATAAGTGGATGAATTTATTGTTTGGCAGTTAAAAAATTTATGGTGTTGATAAGTCCATTTAATTATGGAAATGATGTTTTGCATGTTGTAGATGATGTACAGTATCAGAATTTTAATAGAATGCAAACACCATACCAGAAAAGTAGTCAACGTAATGATGTGTTTTTTTTTTCTATTAAGTTTTTGTTTTTTAAGAAGCATTTTTTTTTATTTGATCATTTTGTTTGAATTAATATATAGTCAGTGAATGTTACATAACTCAACGTAACATGTGTGTGATAATTAGAAGTTATATACAGTTACTTGTTATTATTTAGTTGTTTAGCATGATACAAAATACTTTTAGTAAAATTATAATTGTTTTTCAACTATTTTAGGAAGTATCTGATTTTTAGCTGTTTACAAAGGAATTAGAAGACAATCTAAATTATGCACAATCGACAATTTTTTGATTTCGTTTTTATTTGATTCTGCTATTATGATGAACTATTAATCATTATAATTTTTTATACATTATGTGACAGTACTTTAATCTTACTAATAGGAAAACGAAGAATATATCAACTCCTTACATGCTTATAATGATGGCAATAAAAAATTTTATTTCTGACATATATAGGATGATTTGATTATGTTTAGCTTTAATTTATTTCGGCATAATCGAGAAGACTATTATAACAATTTTAATATTAAATTACAATTAATATTTAAATATTCAGATTACATTGAATAAATTTTAATGTTTAACATCTGTATAGAGAGAATGTATAAATATTTTATTAAACAAAAAATAATCCGTACAGAAAGACGGAACCAAAAAAGTACGAAATAAAAAACCATCAAAGAAAAAGATAATAATTTGCTTTTGTAAAAGCTGTAAGAATTATCCCCAAAGAAGTAAATAAAAGCATTAAAATCAACAGATTAGACATGCTTTTTATTAGTTGAAGTCTGATGTTCTTGATCGTCGATGTCAATCAACAACTTTCCGCTTTTGAATAGAATTAACAGGAGTGATAGGTTCATCGTTTTGATCATATTCAGTTCCAATAGAGCTTGAACCAGTCACCTGTTTATTGGATTAATGCAAGTCAAACAACACATGTTATAAAATGGTTGAGATATCCGAAATTGCATAACATGACAAACCTTGGGGATGTTTGAGGAAACAGACTACAAAATAGGCACATCAGATGTATCCAGATTGGTGATACTGTTATCATCTTCAATCTAAGTTTTCAATAATACTATTAAAAAATTAACTAACTGAAATATAGTAAAAATAGTAAATACATGTTTTATATGGAATATATACATCAACAATTTAAGGCAAACCTCTACAGGACAAACATCATTCTCAAATTTTTTAATAAGTATGGGATCGTCAATAACTTTTGTGCATTTTTAAACCGTCGACCCCGTTTGTATGACATAATCAGTCGCCTCAAATTTTAATATGAGCCTCTTCCCCACAAGTTGGTAAAGTTCCTCCGGTATTTGATTGTTGGGGGTACCCTAAATAAGGCAATAATAGGAAAATAATTGAAAACAAAATTAGTGGAATTCTTAAAATAGCAAATTTAAATAATTCTGAGTTTATCAATACAAACCGGTAGAATAGTTTCTCTGATTTGTTCGCATGATTTATTCATTAGATGACGAATACAATCATCAAACATCAGAAAAGTGCAAGATCCCGGTGTCCCATCTTCAACATCAATTCTCATTTTGTATCTAAGAAATATTTTAATATAAAAAAATCATAAGAGGAAATAAATATGGGTATTCTCGTGATAGAAAATTGATATAAATATTTAAACTTCATTTTTTAATTTGAATGTACCTCGGACTTGCTGTGGTTATTGGTTTAGGGCAGCCTTCGGTCTCACAACGAAACACTGTCTTTGTAGGAATTTGTGACATCGACTTCTTAGACGATGTTTCGCCTTCAATTTTTAGCACAGCAATTGGAACAACCTCTTCCTTTACAGATTTGTGACATTTGCGGCAACCAATATAATACCATCCAAAATCCGGATCGAGAGCCTCAATAGTGGCAATAAGTGCATAGTTTGACCTTGGCTAAAAAAAAAAAGAGAATTTATACAAATTAAACCTGTCTGTAACAAAATAGTTATATAATTAAATCCGCACTTACTGTAGTTATAGTCGACAACTCTTCAATGGTGATTTTATGCCATGTAATGATATTATTAATTGTTCCTAATTTTGGCTGAGGCTGAAGCAAATCAATCTTCGCATTTCCATCAAATCCAGCAGTACAAGTGATTCTATTTACAAACAATACATACATATAAATGTATTAGTTAATAAACTTTGAGATATGAAGGCAAAATATTAAGTTGTACAATGACAGTGTACCTTTGCCTGAAGTCAACAATTTCTAGCAACTCTTCATTTAGATAAACATTAGTACTCCATAAGGAATTCTGAATTCTTCTAGTATCTGTTGTAAAAAAAAATATTTGTTTGAATTTTTATGAAAAAGAATAATACAATAATAAACGCAAAACAATGTCTAATTAGGTAAATACCCTCATATGCATTAATCATTGCATTGTTGATGATTACAATGGCTCGGATTGATCCAGTTGCATCGATATGATTTTGGACCTTTAATGCATGATCACCCCATAATGTGCACTTCAGAATTTCATCACTGCAACATTTAACGTAACTAATTAGTGTGAGTTGAAATTGATATAGAACCTGGAAAAATCAGTAATGTAAATTATCCTTTCCTTTCATTTATAATGTGCAATTCCATATGATGTTGATTTCGACCTCTTGCCATTTTCATTGTCAGACTACTCATTGTTTTGATCTGCCCTATTACGTCTTTAAAAATAAACAACCAATAAACAAAACCGATTAAATCAACATAGATTTTATAACTTTGATACATTCATGGAAAAAAACTTCATCATTTATTTAATAATACAAAAAAATGCATACCTACTAATTTGGATAAATCTTTTGTGGCATTGATATAGTTGAAACTGACAAAATCAAAGCCATGGATTCCTCCAAAATTCGTAGTGTCAACATACGGACCTAGTTCGATTGTCGTACGCTCATCATATTTAATCCGGAAAACATGTTTGCACTGCTTGAATCTCTCTCCATTTTTTGCACATCCGAAGTTAGAGATCAATAAAGAAGTTCCTTCAATGAGATTTTCGTTGAAACGATGAAAGTGGTCACGATGGACCACGGCAACAATTTTGTCACCCTAAGTTAAGAAAAAATTACGAAAAAAATCTATTAATTTTTATTTATCGAACAAACACATGAATGTATCTCAATATTAATTAACGGTGACAACAAAGTATAGGAGCTTACATTTGAACCCATAAGAAGCATTTCACGGCTCTCAACTCTGTCCCAATTTTTAAAATGATGGCGATCTGACAACTTGCACAACTTGACGTTAATCAGCCATCCACATCCGGTAATTCCGTTCAATTCTTTGATAGAATTTATCCTTCTAGCCAGAGCCATTGTAAGAGAACAAAAGAGGGAGAAGAAAAGAATAAATTTTAATGATCTGCTATAAGAATGTGTATTAACATGAATAGGTGAGGAGGTGTTGGGGAAACTAAGCATACGGTTTATATAGAAGGAGATTTAGCGTAAAGGACGTATTAGGGTTTATAATGTTTTGAGGCGCGAAACTAAATTTAAATTCAGTTTAAATATTGGAGTATATCAATTAGTTAATTACACGGAATCAAATTTTGATTCTCAGTTAGTATCTTATCTATCCTATATGATCTCTAATGAAAACGATAAGTAGAACAATAGCTATCTAAGTGAATCATAAATGTAAATTTGGATTACATTTAGAAGTTAGTTTCATATTATATTTGAAATTCTTCAAATTTGTATTGTATATCAATTACGCAATTTCGGCAGTTATTTAATTATTTAATTAAGTTGAAGGTAGTTTCATACGGTAATTATAAGTCTAATTTAATATCTTATTATCTATTCTATATGATCAGTAATATTTTTTTTTTAAGCCAGAAAAGAAGGTTCAGAAGAGGATTCAGGTTCTAACTGGCTCAAAAACACTCAAGGGGTCTACCCAAGAGATGAATTTTTAAGTCAGTTATAGCCAGATGATGTAAAAGCACCCAAGGGATGAACAAATATATCATCCAGTTCCTTAGTTCCCTCCTTACCCTGTATATTATTGAGATTCACAGGTCAAAGCCGGCAGTGCATACAACTTACCAGGATACAAAAAATATTATCTTACTATTACATCCGAAATATTACCGCACTCTCACATACGGCATAGATTGTTGATCTAGAGTGATGAGACCCCTAGTGAAATTCGGAAGATCTCCTAAGGAAAAAAATTCTGCTGAAACCTCATCTGAAGCACATCTAGCTAAACTATCTGCTACTGCATTCGCTTCTCTGTAAATAGAATCTCCACGGATAAGGACCTCCAGAGGCAAGAATATTTGCCAGAAATTGGTTATCCGTTTGAACTTCCACCTGGAACAGATCAAGATGCTCACATTTCCGAACTCCAAATAAAAGGCCATAAACCTCCGCTTGAAGACTATCTCCACTGCCCAAAAATCCAGCTTCCCCATAAAGAAAAACCCCTTCTCACCTCGAATTACAAAGCCATACCCAGCAGCTTGGGAGTTGGAAGATCCATCAGTGTTCAGCACATGCTTGCGCTGTTGTTGCCAAGAAACTTTGCGCACCTTTTTCTGTTTTAGGCTGAAAGGTATGTTCGGAAAGATCAGCTGAAGCGACTCCCTCTCTACAACATTTTGAGCCTTAAGTATATTGACTAGCATCATTCCATGAAGATGCTCTTTGACAGCTTTGATGACACCTAAAAAAGTGGAGTCTACATTTTCAAACAAGAACTTGTTCCTCGCCTTCCATAGCTCCCACACTATAAAGGATGGCAGAATCTTCTTAATGACCCCAATAGCTGTTTTAAAGTTCCCTGAAATCCACCATGAATTCAAATATTCTCCAAGGTTTGAACCATGCGCAACCTGACCAAAAAGTTCAGCAAAAAAATTCCAGACCTGGTGCGCAAAATCACACTCAAGGAATTGCTGCCTCATTGAATCCGAGGACGACTTACACTTCCAGCAAATTGAAGGTTGCAAGTATATACCCATTCTACATAAGTTCTCCGTAAAAGGGAGAAGTGAATTGCTAAACTTCCACATGAAGAAGGAGATGCGCAAAGGGATGAATTTATGCCATACATTCCGCAGGCTAGGGTTTTCAACTTGCCTCTGGTGCTTGCCGAGTTCACCAAAAAAAAATAATAAATATTACTAGCTTGGATTATGAGTTTTGTAGATAATGGAAGCTAGGTCGATCCCACGAGGACAGCTAATTACCAAATTTGTTGTAAAGAAAAACTGTCAGTCAACAAGGTGTCACTCAGGAGAATGAAAACAGTCACTCAAGGGAATGGAGGCCAGGGGTGTTCTTCTCCTCTCCTACTGTTGTAGTTGTTCTATTAGCACTGTAATGGTTGAGTTCTTGTTCATTCAGCTCACTTATAACTCTAAGTCAGTTCCCATTTTTTCTAGAGTCATCTTTGCAACCTTAACAACCTATTTTCCAATGATTGATTCAGCTACAAAGTCATTAAGTTCTTAGGCCTTCAAGAATGCTTATGTTAACTAAGTATATTCCTATCTTAGTTAAAACCATAGACTGTTACCTCTATGTCATAAGTTAAGGTTGAAACAATCCAAACCAAGTTTATCCTTCCAGATTTCCCTTAGTTCTAGCATGCATTCAATTTAGTGATCAAGTAAATGAATGTAGAAAAACTTTTAACCATAAAACAAGGAACAAAACCAGTGCTTTGACAACTACAACATCAGTTGAGGAGAATAACCTCTGGGAACTGTTTAGCTACTCATACAGATTAATGCTAGGTCTACTACATCGAAAGACATTATAGAAGTATGCATAGTAAATAAAATTCAAGCTAACAGTCAAGAGATGAGGAGAAAGCTTGTGCAGTTTCTGAGTCACTCCTGGGAGTGAAAGGGTTCACTCATGGAACTGAAGAAGAAACTGGGTTGCTATTCTTCAACTCGGCTTCCTCCCTGAGTTGTTGCTGCTTCTTCTTCTTTCTTGCCTTCTACCTGGAGTTTTTCTGGGTGTTTTTAGCAACTTAAAGGGAACCAGAGATTGAGAGATGGATTTTTTTGTGAGAGTGCTGTTCCCTCCTTTATAGTGCCTTGCAACCGGTGTCTTCATCATGAGAGCCTCCCTATACTTGGAGTTGTTTAATCCTTCCAATGTCTTGAGCCTGCAATCCAACTTGGCCGTTCCTTTTCTCTCTTCCAGCAGTGGCCGTTTTGCTCTCATTGATCAGCAGTGGTGGCTAAGGTTGCGGCTGGGGGACAAGCATGCCTCTAGGAGGAGGCAAGTTCATTAATGACAAGATGCTTCTTGTCTAAGGGCCTTCTTCTTCGTCCAGCTCAGCAACCTTGCCTCAGCAGCCCGTAAATTGCTCCTTTGGCTTCCAATTTTCAGCAATTATTCGATCCGGTCCTTTCCTAACAATAACATGAAAATGAGCTAAGTAAATTGCATCAATGCTAGGAAATACCCCCAATTGTTCATCAAATACAAGGTTGATTGTGATGCTTTTATGTAACAATTTAGCCATTATCAACATTTGAGGATACCAAATCTTTCTGCAATCCAGAGTCAAACAACCAACCTTCACAGGGAATTAGAATGCATATGCCACAAGTGTTTGTTCGTGCCAAACCTACCAATCCATTCTAAGTTAACCGGTTAAACTTTTGGTTGTCATTCTTGTGATCTGGTCTTGCCCAAGTTACTTGACTCGATTTACCTACTGAGACTTCAATCCTGGAGTTCCTGCACAGCCTTTATGTTTTATTTATTTAGAAAATCTTTTTTTTTTTTTTGAATGGGATGTAAATGGACCAACCTACAGGGGTGTTATTCAACCTTATCTCTCCACTGCCTTATACCTCAACCCTTATTACTCCAACAGTTTGGAACTTTTTGTGGTGGTTCCTTGCTGTTACCCCTAAGGTTTCGGTTGATCCATTCCCTAAAATTTATTTATTTATTTTTATTTTTATTTTTTTTGAAAAGCAAGCAGGCTGTGAATGGGTACCACAAAGGAAGTCTCAGATTTACGGCATTCTCATCTAATTGTAGCTCAGAACTAGACACAGCTCACAACAGTGGATTAGTCATGCCAAATTTTAAGATTTATGTTCTAGGCATTCACTTCCACGAGTGGCATTGTTCATGTGTGTGAGTGAGTGTCAGCCATTTTTTTTCTTTCATGCATCAGACTTAGTATCAAAAAGTGATCAAAAAGTGGTTTAGCAAAATTGTTTTCCAAAACCATTATCATCCTAGACTGTTGACAGCTCCTTAGAAGATTTTCATTACGGAGTCAATCTAGACATGAACCTGATGGACCTAAATGGCACTGTCCTGACATTGACCGACCTAACCACAAACTAACTACAACTAAATACTACTACATTACTCCCCCCAAACTTATTCTAAGCATTGCCCCCAATGCTTAACAACACCAACCCGGCAACAACAATAAACAGAAAACAAAAAGTACAGAAAACAACACATGAAACATTAAACAGGAAACAAATAAATTGCTGATTAAGGGAAGCAGAACAGCACTTCCCTGAGTGTTCATTGAGGCATTCCGTGAAGTGGGTGGACTGTGGATCATGCGGCATTGGGCAGTTTTCAGGGCATCCAATGCACTTGTGCATTTGCTGCAGGAATTTCTTCCTCCTCGTCTGGCATTGGTGGACGTAATCCGGGATGAACCTGGTCTGCTTGTTGAAATCCCTCTGCCTCAACTGTCCAGTTGGAGTGGGAGTGGATGTTGTTTGTCCTGCGGATGAGGCACCTGGGGGTTTCTGGTCCAACTTATGCATCCTCAATGGTTGCTGCAAGTTGCTCTCTGCGTTGGTGTGCAGGAAGGTCACCCCTGCCCTTTTGCATAGCATGGTGACCATGACTGGGAAATACCAGCTCTTCACCTTTGGATCAGTGATGCATCGGGTAAGTTGCTCTCGGATGACTGAGGCTGCATCAAATGGTGTGTCTGTGACAATGGCATATAGCAGCAGAGCCATCTCATAGGTGACCTTAGCAGTGTAGGATGTTGGCATCAGATTGCAGCAGATGAAATGGTGCCACAGATTTAAGTCAGGCGTCTGCAATGCGTTTGCTGGATATCCCAAAGGGTTTTCTTGATCATCCATCTCCCAGCTTGTGCCCTCTTTTGCCAATCTGGACAGAATGGCCTGTTCCAGCGGTTGATTTGGATGCAGGGCAGCCAGGGTTTCTCTGTAATCGGTGCTTATTCTTAGTAACTTCCAGATGGCCCTGATGGCCTCTGTGCTGCAATTGACGCTGATGCCTCTGACGAATACTCCATCTCTGGGGGTAGTGTGGAAGTTGCCGTAAAATTCTTGCACAATCTGGATCCTTGGCTTGACAGGTGGGTTGGAGAAGGTCTCCCAGCCATGGCACTTGATGTAGGCAAAAGCTGCGCCATCTTCACCGATTCCCCTTTCTGTGATGAATTTTCGCCTTATGTGCTTCAAAAAGAAATCCCAACCCTTCTTTCTTGGAAATAACCTGGGCTCCCATTCATCGGTGATGGCATTAAGGGCTTGTTCTTGCAGCGCCCTTGGTGGTTGTGGAGGTGGCGGTGGGGTAGGTTCTCTGGCAGGGGATGCTGGTGGAGTGGGCGTTCTTTGCCGTTCAGGAGAGGGCGAGGATGAGGAGGATGATATCCTTCTCCTTGTGTTGGATGCGTTTTTGTGGGCAGCAGCCTTCCTCCTTGCCGGCGGCATCTGTGACAAACCCTAAGAGTTGTGTTGGCAAAATTGAAAGAGGGATTTTGTGATTGAATCTGAAAATTGCCTTATGTGCCTGGAAACTCAGAGAAATTGTCAGTATGTTCACACAGGGAAGTGGTGGTTGAAGGAGTGATTCTGGGATTAAGAAGAAAATGAAGAAGACGAAGCAATGAAGGAGTTGTGAGTTAATGCACAGCAGTTAAAGTTTTTGGAAATCGTGGCTGACTCAAGTGACTCAAAAAGGCGGACATGGTTAAAATTGAAATTTGAAATTTTCCGGAAAAATTTCCCCCCCAAACTTAAACCATAACTACAACCCAAAAGGTGACTTTTTGCAGAAAGTGTCGTACAGTTGTTCTTACTCGGGCGAGTGGATTGTTCCACTTGCGTGAGTGACGTCAGGGTCAGAAAATTCTCAAGATTCCTTCCCGTTGGTTCACTCAGCGGAGTGATCTTCTTCACTCCTGGGAGTGAGTTTACCTGAGGCCTTTTATGTTACACCTTCTGAAATCTGTTGGGGTGGCAAATTCCTTGTCCAATCCTGCAAAAATTAGAGTAGCACATTGTCAGCCATATAAAAGCAAAACGTATGGGTTGTCTCCCATAAAGCGCATTGGTTTTAAGTCTCATGCCAGACTTCAAAAGAAATTTCAGTAAAGTTCTTTCAGGACCAGAACTTGATAGTTGTGTCCTTTACTCCCTTCTGTCCATCCAAGGTATGGCTTAAGCCTCTGACCATTAACCAAAAAGGTGTTGCCACTTTGTGGATTCATGATCTCCACTGCTCCATGAGTTAGGACCTTGTTGATTTTGTAGGGCCCGGTCCATCTTGACTTCAACTTCCCTGGAAAGAATTTCAGCCTGGAATTGTACAACAAGACCTCTTGTCCTTCTTGGAAGTTCTTCTTGACAATGTGTTTATCATGGTAAGCCTTAGTTTTCTCTTTGTAGACTCTGGACGATTCGTATGCCTCTAGTTTGAATTCTTCCAGTTCATTCAACTGAATCAATCTTAATTCCTTGCTTTTGCCCGGATCAAGATTCAGTTCCTTGATAGCCCAGTAAGCTTTATGTTCCAACTCTACTAGCAAGTGGCATGCTTTACCATAGACCAGTTTGAACGGGGACATACCAATGGGAGTCTTGTATGCTGTCCTATATGCCCATAAAACTTCATCCAACCTTGAGGACCAATTCTTCCTGGTAGAATTAACAACCTTTTCCAGGATTCTTTTCACTTCCCTGTTTGACACTTCTGCTAGCCCGTTTGATTGTGGATGGTATGGTGTTGATACCTTGTGCCTGATTCCATATTTCTTTACCATGGCTACAAATGACTTGTTACAAAAGTGTGATCCTTCATCACTGAGTATCATCCTGGGTGTATCAAACCTGGCGAAAATATTTTTTCTTAGAAACCTGAGAACCGTTTTAGCATCATTGTTCTTTGCAGCTACAGCTTCTATCCATCTTGAAACGTAGTCCACTGCCAGTAGGATGTAGGAGTTTCCAAAGGATGACACGAAGGGACCCATGAAGTCTATCCCCCACACATCAAACAGTTCCACTTCAAGCACGTTCTGCTGTGGCATCTCATTTTTCCAGGAAATATTTCCTGTCCTTTGGCACCGGTCACAGCTTTTGACAAACTCTCTTGCATCTCTGAACAGGGTTGGCCAGTACAGTCCAGCTTGTAGAACCTTGATTGCCGTCCTTTGACCGTTGAAATGTCCACCATAGGGTGAACTGTGGCATTTGTGCAACACATCTGTGAATTCAGATTCTGGAATGCACCTTCTGATCAACTGGTCTGAACATCTTTTAAACAAGTAGGGTTCATCCCATAGATAGAGTTGAGCATCATGCGAGAATCTCTTGCGTTGTTGTGAGGTGAGATCTGGGGGAATAACGCCAGCAACAACAAAGTTAGCAAAATCTGCAAACCGAGGCCTGTTACCTGTCACTCTCATGAGTGTGTCTGTCACTCGCCAGAGTGACTCATCAGGGAATTTCTCTAAAATTGGAATTGTGTCTTCTGGAATTTCTTCAAGCCTTGACAGATGGTCTGCTACTTGATTCTCAGCACCCTTTCTGTCTCTTATCTCCAAATCAAATTCCTGCAACAACAACACCCATCTAATCAACCTTGGTTTAGACTCTTTTTTGTTGATCAAATACCTGATGGCTGCATGGTCGGTATAGACTATGACTCTCATCCCTAGCAAATAAGCTCTGAATTTGTCAAATGCAAATACAATTGCCAGCATTTCTTTCTCTGTAGTGGTGTAGTTGACTTGTGCGGAGTTAAGGGTTTTACTAGCATAGTAAACCACATGTAACACCTTGTTTCTTCTTTGTCCAAGTAAAACACCAACTGCAAAATCACTTGCATCACACATTAGTTCAAAAGGTTGTGACCACTCGGGTGTGATGATCACAGGTGCGGTGATGAGTTTGTTTTTCAATTCAGTGATTGCATTTAAACAGGATTCATCAAAAATAAAAGCAGTGTCCTTTTCAAGCAAATTGCACAAAGGTTTAGAAATTTTTGAAAAATCTTTAATGAACCTCCTGTAAAAACCAGCATGGCCCAGGAAGCTTCTCACTCCCCTGACTGTGGTCGGTGGGCTGAGCTTCTCAATGACTTCAATCTTTGCCTTATCCACTTCAATTCCTTCTTGTGAGATCTTATGCCCCAAGACAATTCCCTCAGTTACCATAAAATGGCATTTCTCCCAGTTGAGAACCAGGTTGGCTTCTATACATCTTTTCAGTATCAGCCCAAGGTTGTCCAAACATGCATCAAATGACTTACCAAAGACCGAGAAGTCATCCATAAAGATCTCAATTATGTCTTCCACCATATCAGAGAAAATGGCCATCATACATCTTTGAAAAGTTGCCGGTGCATTGCACAGTCCAAATGGCATTCTCTTGAAGGCCAATGTGCCATAAGGGCAGGTGAAAGTCGTCTTCTCCTGATCATCAGGGTCTATGGCAATCTGGTTGTAACCTGAGAAACCATCAAGGAAACAATAATACATGAATCCAGCTAATCTATCCAACATTTGATCAATAAAAGGAAGGGAAAGTGGTCCTTTCGGTAGCTTTATTAAGCTTTCTATAGTCCATGCACACTCTCCATGAATTGTTCAGCCTTGTAGGGATTAGCTCCTGGAGGTCATTCTTTACCACTGTGATTCCTCCCTTCTTAGGCACGCACTGCACTGGACTCACCCACTTGCTGTCAGATATTGGGAAGATAATCCCTGCATCCAGCAGCTTGATAATCTCCTTTTTTCACCACTTCCTTCATGACTGGGTTGAGTCTTCTTTGTCCTTCAATGGTTGGCTTGGCGTCATCTTCAAGCAGGATTTTGTGCATGCATATGGAGGGGCTGATGCCCTTAATGTCAGCAATTGACCAACCAATGGCCTCCTTGTGCAATCTCAGTACTCTCAGCAATTTGTCCTCTTCAGTACCTGTAAGCATAGAAGAAATGATTACAGGTAAGGTGTTACTTGCTCCAATATAGGCGTACTTCAAATGTGAGGGCAGAGGATCAAGCTCGAGATGAGGTGGTTCTTCAACTGAAGGTTTGAGGCATCTTCCTTCCTTGGTCAGATTTATCAGCTCAAAAGGTTGCTGTTTAGGATGCCACTTGGGGGAGTGGTTCAGGTAGCTCAGGCAAGTGGCCCTGTACTCATCCCCTCCTTCCTGTTCCTCATTATAGTCTGGGTATAACAGTTCTTTGAGGAGATCATCTTGCAGTAATTCTTCAGTTACTGCTTCCTCTGCTTCTACATTTCTTACCATGTAGCAGTCGTGGGCTTCAGCGGGATACCTCATATTTTTGAAGATGTTAAAGGTAACCTTCTCCCCATCAAAGTGCAGTGTGATTTCTCCCTTTTTCACCTTAATGATTGCATCGCTTGTTGCCAGAAAATGTCTCCCCAAGATGATGGGTACATCCCTGTCTTCTTCCATGTCCAAAACCACAAAATCTGCTAGGTAAACAAAGTTACCAACTTTCACAAGAACATCATGTAAGATTCCCTTTGGGTAAGTTAGAGATCTGTCTGCCAACTGCAAGGTCATGTTAGTAGGTACCAGAAATTTGTCCAGATCAAGGGATTTAAATACAGACAATGGCATGAGATTTATGCTTGCACCGAGATCTAGTAATGCTTTAGAAAATTCTCTGATTCCTACAGTGCAAGGAAGAGTGAAACTACCTGGATCTTTCAGCTTAGGTGGTAATTTCCTTAGGATAGCTGCACTACATTCTTCATTTAGAGTGACAAAAGCAGAGTTATGCATTTGTGGCTTATTTGCCACCAAATCCTTCAAGTACTTAAAGTATTTAGGCATCTGTTTAAGTGCATCAACAAGCGGTACATTAATATGTATATTTTCTAAATTCTGAATAAACTGTTGAGTCCTTCATCCATTTTTGCTTTCTTTCTTCTTCTTGGATATGGTGGCGTCGGAGTGGCTGTTGTGGTTCCTTAATTGGTGCTGGGAATTGAATTCCCTCCATCCCGAGCTTTTAATGGGTTGCTCTGTTCAACCACGTCATCATCATCGATATTTGCTCAGAAGAAGTTTCATTCTTACCTGCAGGGTCACTCGCAGGAGTGACTTCTTCACTTGGCTGATTGAGTTGCTTTCCACTTCGGAGAGTGACAGCCTTCGCTTGCTCTTGGTCATTCCCCTTGGGGTTCACAATTGTATCACTGGGCAGGCTTCCAGATGGTCTTTCAGCATTTTGTTTTGCAATCTGAGCCAACTGATTTTCCAAACTTTTGCAAGACACCGCCAAACTCTTGATTGCATTTTGTACAGAAATCCATTCATCTTCCCTTGGTACGTATTGTTGGTTAGAACGTTGCTGATTCTGATAGTTGGGATGCTGACCATCTTGTCTGTGGAATCCTGGGGGTTGAGCAGGCCTTTGATAGTTTCCTTGTTGTGGAGCATTGTTCCAGTTGGT